GACAGGCAGTTTACCCACTAGCCATCTCTCCAGAAAACCCAGCTCTACTGCCCTGTGAAATACTTGAGCACTGTTGGCACTTCTTGTGTTAGCTTTAACTTTTTTCTTTGTAAGCAATACATTTGAGTCTCCTGGAAATAGAAACTGAATTTGATGCACTACATATGGAAAAGCATGCCTTCTGGTTGCCAAGATTGCACCTTCTCCTTATTTTAGGAAACTGAGGAATATTAGGAAACAATAGCTTTATAAGTGCTATGGTTGTCTTTTAAGCTTTGATTCACTGTCTTAGTAATGTGTTAGCAATTTGAATGTATTCAGGAGGAAGCAAGCAAATTGTTATTAATAATGGTAAAATATTTGGAGATTTGATAGTGGTTTTGAAAGATTTCTTGTATAGCCCTGGAGAAAAGTCTTGTACTGTCCTGTCATATGTTAGTTACTACTAATATGCTACAACACGTGTGAAAATATGTTTAATGTTCATATTAATTTAATCTTGTTATGAGAACTAATTGTGTTTGTTTATAGACACAGAAACGTAAAATGGATGGTGCCGCTGATGGTCGAGGAAGAAAAAAGAAGCTGAAACTATGAACGCATATTTTTGTCTTATAATCACTAAACTAGTAGTTGTTTAATTTACGGGTCTTCATAAGATGTGCTGTACAGTGCTCAACTCTTATGTCATTCAAAGACATCAGCTCCATCTGCTTACTGAGCTAGAAACATAGGATGTAGTTTCACTTTTTTAAATGCAACAGCTGTGCTGAAATTTTTTTTATCATTAACACTTGAAGTAATAAAACAGGCTTCATTTATTAATAAATGTTTCATTTGATTTATTTTTCTATTTCATTTAAGGATTGTGGCTTTATATTGGCTACGACTTTAGCACTTGTGTGGCTTAAAAGCAAGCAAACAAGTAAAAAAAAAAATTACAAAGAACATTGGTCCCTTCAAGTCTCCACTTAGTTGTGTAATAATTTTAATTTTACTTCACATTCTCTGCCTTTGATTTTTTTTTCTTTTCTTTTCTTTTTTTTGGTAGTACTATTGAATCTCATCTGGAAAGAATGTGTAAATTACATTTATGCTTGTTACAGAATGGGGGAAGGCAAGACAAGTTACAATGATGTCTATGCATATTTCTGTTATACACTTTACGTTCCTATGGTTCTGAAGTGAATGTGCTCTGTTCTGTTGGATGAATGGCCTTTTTAGTTGTATAGCCAAAGACATTTAGTATTTTCTGGTTCTTGAAAGTGGTGTATTATCTTGTAACAGGATTTTTTTTTTTTTTTTATTTTAAAGTATTTGGTAAATATTTTGATACACGGCCTGCAGCAGCCATAACTTAGAAAGATAATGTCAGAAGTAAGGTGATTTTTTTTTTCTTTAAAATTTGAATGACCCAGCCAAAATGAGGTGTGAATCTTGTCATATTGTTACAATACTAATAGAATGTACCCTCTCAGTTTATAGTATTTTTGAGTTTTTAGAGTAAATGAAAATTTTATTTTATTATATTTTAAAATAACTTCTAAGTCTTAGTAGCAAGATGGAGTATAATTCCAGTTTTTATTTTCTATGGAATAGACTTGCTAACTGGAGACCCTGAAGCAGGAATACCCAGAGGCCTTTATGTGCTACACATCATTTGTATAAAGTTTTATATGTGCAAATTGGGTACATAGCAGTTCTCCATTTTTCTAAGGGAATGCAATAAATGTAGCATCGTGAATAAATATAACTTTTATAATCCTTAAAGTGGTCTTTCTTTCCATCTCTTTGAATTTTTTTTTTTCTTATAAAACTTCAACCTTTTCCCCTTAAGAGAGAGTCTGTTTTTCTTAGATCTCTTCCTCTGAAACTTAGCTTTCCTCTGCACACACATCCCTGAAAAGTCTTCTTTCTGTACTGTGATTGCCTGGTTGTCTTAAATGTAGGATTGCTGGTGTGAGTGTTATGCATTTGGACTTTGGAATTTTGTAGAGTAATTTGAGTTCTTTTGATGCTTTCTCAAAGTTGATTAATACTAAAACTAGATGTTGTTCTCATTTTGGAAGAAATAATTGAAAAAAATTTCAAGATTGAAGAAAACCGCTGGCCGGTGGTGACCCATGCCTTTAACCTTAGCACTTGGGAAGCAGAGGCAGGAAGATCTCTATGAGTTTGAGACCAGCTTGGTCTACAGAGCGAGTTTGAGTTCCAGGACAGGTTCCAAACCAAAGCCACAGAGAAACCCTGTCTCGAAAAACCAAAAAAAAAAAAAAAAAAAAAGAAGAAGAAGAAGAAAACTGAAGGAGCTGTTAAAGGTCACACAAAGTGAGGTTTGAAGATGGAGATAAATCGTGAGGTGTTTTACAGTGGAAGGATGCTGAGCATGATGTATCTGTTGAGACAAGTTAAAAAATTGTAGAGTATTCTAGCCAAATTTAGCATTGTGATTTAGCCAGTGTTGGAGGTTTGCTGTAGGGCCCATTTGGATAGTGCTCCACACACCCCTGGAAGGGGAAAGAGTATTCTAACCCTGAACTAGCCCTCAGTCTTAAAAGAGGGATTGATGAAGGTAGAACAGGAAGCCATACCAGACTGGTACAGTTGTAGTGGCGTCGAGGCACAACCAGAGTCCCAGCAGTCTGTCCCCACAGTATGAAGACCTTGTATGGCATTATTGGGAAGATAATACTGTGCTAGCAATAAAACACAATATAAATGTTCATTTTAAAGTGACAAAAATGATAATGTAAAATTTTCTATTGCTGTCCTTTCACTTGAGGATACTTTGTAATAGATTTTAAATTTGCTTAATTTAATGGCTGTCATATTGCACACCTGTAATCCCAGTACTGAGGATCTGGTGAATTTGAGGCCAGCTTGGGCTACAGAGACCCTGTTCCATAGTTTTTATACAAACTTAGCTATCAATTCATTAGTTCTTTCAATTCAACTGTTCTTTCAAATAAAATCCATTGCATAATTTAACATTCCATGTTGACAGTATTTTAAAATCAGTTGTATTTTTCCTTTAGAGACCTACTGTGCTCAGAGTAATAAGGGGTTTAGATACAATAACATTTGTAATTCCCATTTCTGAGAAGCCACTAATCCTTAATGCTTGGCAGTCTCCTCTTCAGTGTTTCTTTACAGTAATAAGTTCTGTAAGCAGAGTCAAGATTTAGGAAATGGAAAAAGCATGGTGTTTACAGGTAAAATTATGTACTTTGTTCAGGAGTAGAGTTTACTGTGATTCGCTCGAAGGAGCTGCAAGCAACGTGAATACTGCAGTATATATGTGGACCTAAAGTAGTGGTGCCTGGGCCTCCCACAGATCTGGGCAGCATTGAGGAATGATAAGCAGTCACTGAAACTTGGCAGCTAAAACAGTTGAGTTCTACTGTCTTCATGCTTGTCTTTTCTGAAGCCACCCTTTCTGGTAAGGAGCCAGGCATCATCCAGCACTACAAGTTGAGCTGATAGAATGGTCACCCCAAGTTTGATATTTTGACAGTTCCCTCTGGACCTACACTGACACACTCTGGTGTGGTAAGAAAGGCAGGCTTGGAACTTGTGCTGAACAGGATCACTATTGCACCAAGATCTTCAGTGTGTAGTAGACCTAGAAAAACAATGCTTCAAAGTATTTCCCAAAAGGAAAATGAAACCTTAATGGCCACATAATAACAGCATTATCAGTGCCATTTTATTATCAAGAACAGACATTGTCAATAAGGTTTTACTTTTTTTTTTCTTTTCCTATGCTGAACCACTGAGCTATAACATTTTCAGGAGGCCTACCAGTGTTTCCAGCCTCCCCTAGTTGTGACCCTGGGTGCAAACCAGTGTATAGACACAGATTGAAGAAGATTATGTTTTTGAGACAATTTATTTTTTCTATGTATGTAGTCCAGGCTGCTCTGTAACTTGTACCTACCAAGCACTAAGATTATGGGCGTGCTTCAGTATACCTGCCTGGTCTTAAAATTGTTAAATGTTAGCATTTAAGTCATAAGAGCCCAAATACTTCAGAGCTGTGTTTCTTTAGGATGTGGCACTAGGGTTGTCAATGGCAATGCAGAAGCATGTAGAATCACTAGTGTGGTTGGCATGCACAGGCTCTGGTGCCAGTCTCCAGCAGCCTTAAAAGTAAACCACAGGTTTTTCAGAAATTTGTGCGCTACAGGAATGTTAAAGTTGAAATGCCATCATTTAGAAGGCTTCAGGATATGCATGATTGGATAATATTCCATTTAAATGGAGTAGATGTAACAACTTAAGCAATTGATTTTTTTCTGCTCAATCTTCCTTCTTCCATCCATCCATCCATCCTTCCTTCCTTCCTTCCTATTTCCTTCCTATAGGGTTTCTCTGTGCCTGGTTTTTCGAGATAGGTTTTCTCTGTGTAGCTTTGCAGATCAGGCTGCCCTTGGACTCACAGAGATCCACCTGTCTCTGCCTCTCAAATGCTGGGATTAAAGGCACAAACCACCACTGCCTAGCTCCTGCTCAGATTTATAAATCTATCATATATCAGACAATAAAGGAAGTATGCTGAACATTTGAGTAATTCTGGATAATTAAATGACAGCTGATACACTGGCTAGTTTGTGTCAACTTGACATAGCTAGAATAACCTAGGAAGAGTCTTAATTACATTTGTGTGTGTGTGTGTGTGTCTGAGAGAGAAACAGAGGATGTCTATGTACCTTGACACCCAAGGTCAACTGAGAGAAAACTGATTTAATTGGTGACCGTGGGTTTTACTTATCTTAGAATCATGAAACAGAAAAAGTAACAACACATTTTTTTTATTGGCTCAATCCTTTATATTTTTCTGTTTCCATGCAGTCACATAAAGTTTTGCACAAACACAATGTTGTTATTCCAGAGTTGCTAAGCTCTGGAATGGTACATCTTCATTCTGTGGTTTGTATAGATCTAGGCTACTGTTTGCCTCTTCAGAGAACTACAAATACTCTACTTGCCAGTTGGTGAGGTCATTGATAAACAATAATGGTTTTATCTGGTTCTCCAAGCACTGCACCTCTAGGCATCTGTAGAAGTAATTCAAACTTCTGGACCCTCAAAGGCAGTCTGATGCAGGTCATCAAGGATTGCCACTCGGAGTCTGCATGATTACTCCTGGGCTGAAGTGCAGATTTTGGCTGACACCAATGAATTCTGTTCCAGCTGGGATGGAGAGGAAAGGCAATAGTGAGACTGGGGTCCATTATGTAAGTGATGAGAGCTGTGATGAGAGCTGCCATCCACTCGAAGTGCATTACCAGCATCAAGATTGCAATGGATCCCAGAATCTCTATTCTAACAAGTGTTGGGTAGTTCCTCAATACAGGCCTGCGTGCCGCCCTTGTCAGACCAAGGACATCATATCTGCTGACTTCATAGAGACCCCACTCATTACATGGAAGAAGAAGGTGGCTTTAACTGGAAACAAAAGAGTTTGCCCTTTAAACTAGCGTCTTGAAGCTGTTAAAAGGTTTTATTTGATGGGGCTCTATTTCTCTGGTTCAGTCTTGCAACATCCCATTTCAGTTTTACTCAGCCATGGAGTTTCTGCCATTGCCTGGATTGTTTTATTAGCCATTTTTGCAGGCTGGCATACCTGGCTACTTAGATCCTTGGTTGTTATTTATTCTGAAAGACATCAAATACGATGACAGAAGCAATGATAACAATGAAATAAGGTAGAAACCTCTAGACTTATACACCTAGCAGACACCACTTGAACAGATGACGAGCACTAGATCACCAGAATCGGACAGCATGCAGTGGGAGCACATCCCTGGGAAATTCATCTTCCAGAATAGCAAGTTGATGAAAGTTAGGGAAGGAGAAAGGTGTGGGGGTGGGTGGAGATGATAGGAAGATGGCTCAGTCAGCAAAGTGCTTGCCACAGGCAGCCAGGAGGATACTTTCATTCTTTTCCTATTGCTGTGATAAAATATTTGACCAAAGTGCCTTAGGCCAAAAAGGTTTTAGCTCACAGTCCATTATCGAAGGTAGTGCAACCACTAGACACACCCATAGGCAAGGGCAGAGAGGGAATGGAACATGCTCATTTTTTCCCCTACTCTACCAACAGCCCAAGACCCAATCCAGGAATGGTGACATCCATTTTTAGGCCATGTCTTCCCACATCAATGAATAATAAAGCAATATTTCATTGAAACCATTCCCAGGTGATCCTACAGTCTGTCAAGTTGATAATTGAAAATAACCATCACAATTATAACGCCTAATACCAGCTTCTTGAATCAGAGAGAATGGGCGGAGCGGGAAGGGAGGAACTGTTCTACATTGTTAGAGATTGAAGAGGGGAAGGAGAGATGGCTCAGCAGCTAACAACACTGGCTGCCCTTCCAGGAGACCTGGGTTCCATTCTCAGCAACCACATGCCTGCTCACACTCATCTTCAACTCCAGTCCCCAGGATCTGATGCCCTTTTTGGGCACCAAGCCTGCACATGGCGCACAGGCAATCAGAACACCCATACATAAACTGATAAAGCAGATCTGACAAATGTAAGGTGGGATTTTTGGGTTGGATTAGTGATTAGAGGAGTATTGGTGGAACTTAACCTGAGGATTAGGTTATAGAAATGTGTCAAGTCTGTTTCCTGATTGGATGGCTGTGTTGTTACGTGAGGGAATGTATCTGTAGGAATTATATATTGAGCTTTTTTAGAGTGTGGTCCTAAATTTACTGGCAACTTTCAGTGGTTGAGGAAAATGTCTTGTGGATCTTCTGTCAGTTGGAGATTGTATAAAAAGTATATATATATATATAGTTTTTGAGGAGCATCAAATAAATAATGGGTATTAATAGGAAATATACAACTGCCGTGAGAATCGCCAAGGTGGACTTGGATGTCGGGTCCTACTGTTTTTAATTTTCTGATAAGCACCCAACTGGCTTTTAGGAGGATGTGGGATCCAGATCCTCCTGTGTCTGCTTCCCACAACAGCACAGGGGTTACAGGTGTGCAGTGGCATGCTTATGTGGGTGCAGGGGACTGAGTCCAGGTCCTCATGCTTGTATGTGGCAGGCATTTTGCTGACTGAGCCCACCTCCCAGCCCACATGTTGATGAACACTGTAAGGTCTTAGAAATATTCCAAACATTGGAAAAATTCGTCTGAGTCCATGATAAGCAAATGGGTAATGAGTAAGTCATATAGGCTTCTGTCCGAAGGTGCTTTTGCATAGACAAGCTATTTGTCCAGTCAGGAAAAAAAAAAAAAAAAAAAAAGAGATAAAATCAAACCCACCAACATAGACCAGGTTTGCTGACCCCCGAAAGACAGACCCCGCCATCAATATGAATGATGATGACAAATTGTTCCCGCCTGCTGCTCTCTTACCTTCTGCTGGCAGTTGCTCTGTCCTCCTAGAGCACACGATGATGGAGGATGCTACAGAAAGGTCAGTGCCTCTTCACCAGATGGCTACATCCATGTAGCCAGCACTTTCTTCATCATCTCTGAAGTGCAGGGCAGGCTTTAGTGAGGTACAAAAGAACAAACCAAGAAAGGATACATTGGCCTGCTAGATGTACTTGCATGTCTCTGTGAGGACATGAACATTTGCCACACCTGCTACACCTGTCAGGTCTGTCAGGTCACACAGAACCTGCTCAAGGAGAAGAAAAAAAAACCCTAAAACTCAGAGAGCCAAGCCAGTGAACAACATGCTATGACCCTGACTCCCTTTTGGTTGGGTCTCACTTATTCTTCTGTTTTAAGAGCTTTCTGTGAAATAATAGTGAAACCCAGTCATCCAGGCAGAGCCTGGCAGTCAGCTATTATTTAGAGTTTAGGGGTGAAGTTAGGGAGGCTTTGCTGTGTTGAGACAGTTGAATCACCGTTCTGAAGTTGGGGGCCACTACTGTGCATTCTTTCATAGTATTTGTTGATTGCAGTGACAGATGTCCATCTGGGGCTGGGGGACGTGGGAATAAAATTTAAGTTCTATGAACTTTAGCTCCTAACAATAGATTTATTCTGGCCTAAATATCTTTGAAATAAATGGCATTTGGGCTAATACTAGAGGTTAAAAAAGAAGAAAGAAAAAGCCAGGAAGCTTCAACATGGAGAGAGATAACCCTGGAGTTGGAAAAAAGGAAAAAAAAAAAAAAGTTACAGAGTCACAGACATACCTTTGTAAATATATTAAGTGAAGGTGTGCCTGAGTTAAAGTTAAAAAAAATCTGGAGAGTAGAGGTCAGAGTTAAAAAATGCATTTTAGTGGACAAAAACTATACCAGAAGTTTATTGTGCACACAAGGCCTTTCGTTTTGCTTCTGAAGTCATCTGGAACCATGCCCTATGCAGTTCCCTGTTTCCCTGTTACACCTAAGGGTTAGCAGTATGCCTGCTTTATGTGGCATGGGTGATTTGCTGGTAACTTTCTCAGAGCTGGATTGTGCATTTCTTTTTTCTTTTCTTTTTTGAGACAGGGTTTCTCTGTGTAGCTTTGGAGCCTGTCCTGGAACTACGTCTTGTAGACAAGGCTGGTCTTGAACTCACAGAGATACACTTGCCTCTGCCTCCCAAGTGCTGGGATTAAATGCATGTGTGTGCCACTACAGACTGCCAGAGCAGGTCTTTCTTGACAAACATTTTCATGGTGTTGGTTCTTTCTGGCCTTGGATGGACAATACAACAAAACAAAACCAACTTGTTTCTTGTGGAAACTTGGTGACATCTTTGGAAGACTCTCACTCCCAAAGCTGTGTGTCTGTCTTTTTTGGTTTCTTGGTAAGGATGAAATGTTATCATTTTGATTGCTCACCTATCAATCCTTAAACCCCTAAGCATTTGGTGATATCCTCTACTGAGACAGTCCTAGCCTCTAGATGGCGTATCTGGACCAGACCAGCTGATGTCTTCATGAATCTATGGTAACCTTTTGCCTAGCTAGACTCTGGAAAGACTGCGTAATCCCAAAACAATCTTCTCATTTGTTTGTTCATAAAAGCAGCTAATCGCTTATCTCCTGCACTGAAGTCTCTCAGGCAGAGCAAGACTGGACTTCAAGAGAGGGTGGTGGGAATGAAGTCTATTGTTATTATTATTAATTGTGCCCATTTCTCACTCTGGTTCTTATTTTCTTAATATAATCAGCTCTAGTGCTGAGATCATGTGTAACTGCTGTAATCCCCTGATACAAAGACATTTTACTATGTGCATTTCTGCATCTGAGCATCAGTTGCTAACATGTTAATTTTGTCCCATTTAAGTAAGTCACCTGCTCTGTGTGGCCTGTTATTTGCAGAGTATACTTTTCTATCCTTCACCACACTCATGCAGTTCAACAGAATCTGACTCTGTGTTTATTAACATTTTCCTTTAATCAAGGCAATGGAGACCTAAGATGGTGGCATTGAGTTATCTACATGGTATCACATCTGGGAAGAGGCAGTTGGTGCTGAGAAATGGGGAATCCCTTCAGTTTTGGCTGAGTTTCACTTGGGCTCCCCAGAGGCCAGGAACCCTAGAAAGGGAACCAGATGGCTGCATACAGAGCTCTACAGTCACCCGCCTCCTTGTCATTTTAAGACTCTTTATGGTATTGGGGACTTATATGGGATCTTCCAAGACTTACACGACTCCTTTGGCTATGCTGTTTTCTTTTTCTTCTTAGAATGAAGTCATACACAAAGTCTTAATCTTCCTGCATTCCATTTTACTCTTGGTGTTGGTGGAGTCTACACATGTGGAAAGCTATGGCGTAGCTTTAGGAGGAAGCAGAGCATGGAGGTAATGGGAGCTGGCATAGTGGCTTGGCTGATAGAGCCCATCATACACAGAGCTCTGGTTTCTATCCCCAGCACTGCATAGAACTAGAATTATGGCTTACACCCATAATCCTAGCACTTGGGAGGTAGAAGTTCAAGGCCATCTTTGTCTTGAGGCCAGCCAGAGGTACATGTAAGCTACATGTGAGGTATCTAAAAATTGTATAATTTATCTTACAACCATGAGAGCAAAGTAGGAGCTGAGCCATTGTTTAGATTAGGAGGATTTACCATAGTCTCTGTCAGCCAGGATCGTTACCCTGGCAGTAGGGAATTTGGTTCCCAGCTGCCCTCCCACTGGCAGGCTTAGGGCAATGCTGAAGGATTCCTCCTCTTCATACAGGGAGTAGTTGATGATCAGGACCTGACATGTCTTCTCCATCTCACCCTTTTTGAAGTGGAGCATACTAGTGCTGTCTTCTGGTCATGAGATGTAATCTGACTAAGATGACTCCATGGTGGGAATTGTGCCAGTGGCAGAGCCTGCAGGCATTGTGGAGAAACAGAGGGATGGTGAGAAGAAACAGAATTCCTAGTGGAAATTTCTTCCCACTTTATCAAACTATTCGTAAACAACAGTCATCTGAATTACACATTTACCTCTTTCACTCACGAGTATTAATGTTGCAGTTGGAAGGCTCTCAGCACAGTCTACTACTTTGACATGGTGCAGATTTACTGGTCTTTAAGTAGGTGCCAGGTCCAAAGGACATCCCAGTCTCCCCTCCCCCACCCCCCAAATAAAAGTATAGGGTCCAAATTTGAGTCTAGGCCCAGCTTAATCAGGACAATAGATGGATTTCTGTCTGGCAGTTGGCTAAAAGCCAGCATTCCTCAGGAATTTGTGAAAGTAGTTCCCATCTGCCAAAATAAATCATTCTCCTTACCTCTGGCAAAAGGGACACATGGCTCCATTGACAGATACTGTGGCTGCATTTCAAAGCCCATGCTGCATCCTGGCTTCCTTGGTCCCTATTCACAAGTGCTTGCTGTGTATTTCAAAGTCCAAGTAGCTACCCCAGGCTTCCCTCTTCCTAGACAGTTATTTGTTTTCTTTATTTGTTGCTATTATCACTACTCTCTCTTACTCTCTCTATATTTTTTGCTGTTCTCACCTTCTCTCAGCCCTGGCCATGTCCATCTGTTTCTCTTTCCCTCTGCGCTGGACTCTTCCACATGTCTCTGGATGTGTTCTCTCTTTTATGCACAATAAAAGCCTTTCCCTTAATTATACCGTGGCACGGTCATGTTGGCAGTTTACTAAGCTCCTTTGCATATATAGTGTATATTGGATAAGGTTTATTTAGATTAGGAACTAAATGAACTGAAGGTTAAGAGGATACCGCAGCTGGATTATCCCAATCTTTCTTTAACAGATGGGAAAATGGAGAGCAGAGAAATTAGAACCAGGTAATCCATAGTATGACAACTGCATAGAATTTTTCCTGCCTTCCTATGCCATAGTGACATAGCACTTACACAGTAGGTAGCATTTGCACAATCTGTCACTCACATTCTGACTAGTTTCCTGTGCATCACCACCATACCATCACAAGGTTTCCTGTCAGTTTACAAACAGTACAGGATTGATCAGGGACTTTTAGCTTGGATTTAATGCACTTTATATATGAATATTTTTAGCTTTTTGTTTTTCTTTTTAAAGTGTGTGTGTGTGTTGGGAGAGGCGCATAAGTTCAGTGCCCATGGTGGCCAGAAGAGGGCATTTGATTCCCTGGAGCTGGAGTTAAGGCTTGTGAGTAGCCGACTTAGATGCTAAGAACTGAACATGGGTGGGTCTTCGGAAAGGGCAGTAAGGCATGCTCTTAGCTGCTGAGCCATCTCTATAACTCCATCTTTAGATTTTATTTAAATATTCACTTGTGTAAAGATTTATCAGTGTAAACACACTTGTCTTGAAAAATCTATATAATATGTAACTAACAATATAATTGTAGTATAGAACATTTTGTATCCTCCCACAAATACTGACTTATACTTCTTGCAATCCCTCTTCCTCCTATCTCCCAGCCTGAGAAATCACAGATCTGCTTTGTGTCATTATAACTGTATTTGGCATCCTGAGGAGTCTATACAAATGGGAACACACACCACGAAGTCTTGTGTGTCTTGACTCTTTCATTTGTCACAGTACTTTGAGAAGATGTCTCAAAGTGCATCATGGCTTTGTTTTCTTTTATTGCTGATTGTTGTTTCTGTCAGGTCCAAAGGAAACTCCAACTCCCCAAACTCCAAAAGGCAGTCCAAATATCCAGAAATGAGGTGAACCTGAATTATAGGAGGATTTCTGGTGGTTAGATAAAAGCCAGCATTCCTCAGGAACTTGGGAAACTGTCTCCCATCTGACAAAAGGAAAATATGGCTGCCTGTGGCACCTATCAATATTTCAAAGCACATTCTGACCTCTAGGCTCCCTCAGTATCACAAGCACCCATTACACATTTCAATGTCTGTGATACCATGCTATCATCCTAACTCTTCTTTCCTTCTTCTCCACCTAAACTCTCTACAGCTCATGGGGTTCTCCCCATAGCTACTCATTCTCCTCACAACCCTGTGTCCCCACTGTGTCTTCTCTATGATCTGCTCTTGACTCTCTCACCATGTTTTCTCCATTTTCCACCCCTTACTCTTTTCCCTTCTCAAAGACAGCATTGGCTGTGTCCAGTCTACTTCTTTCTCTGCTCTGGACTCTTTAAGATGCCTCTGGCTATTTTCTCTCCCATATCCACAATTAAAACAAAACCAACCAAATAGCAAACAAACAAGCAAGAGAGAGAGACCTTCCCTTTAACCATACCACATACCACAAAGTAGTCAGAAACTCAGGGGATGCATGAATGGACCCTTTCCAAGAGCCTCAGCTTCTTCTAACTGAGCCAAGTTGCTGGTTTGACTCTCCCGAGGTATAGGTCATTTGTTTCTGCTGGCTTCTGCTACCTACCACACTTGACTCCAAATTTTCAGCCACTTCTTCCTTCTGCCTGATCTCTCCTGGTACTTGGGTAAATGTCAGCTAGAAGCTGCCTGCTTTGTCTCTGTCAGTTCCTGGCACCCACTGCTGCTACAGTAATCTCACTGGTGCATCAAGCAGTTTCTCTCACTCTACTGGGCACCCATCACATGAAAAGGGGCGCCTCTGTGTGATTTGGGACATCTCTCTCTCTCTCTGATAATCATTGTGTAAACTTTCTGTATCTCAGGATTTGTAAGTTTGTGGTTTTTTAAATATAATGACTTTTGTCCTGAATGTAAAAACCAAACCAAACCAAACCAAAAGCCAATAAACAAAACAAAACAAAAAAATCAAACACATGATGGGAGATGTCATTCTGTAAATACGTTTCTCTTATTGGTTAATGAATAAAGCCCTGTTGGCCAATAGCAGAGCAAGATAGGTGGGACTAGGAGACAAGGAAGATTCGGGGATAGGTAGGAAATTTAACATGTAAGACCAAAAGAGCAGAACTTCAGACCCTCTCTCCGGTAAGATAAGATCACGTGGAAATACTTAGATTGATAGAAATGGGTTAATATTTAAGACAGAGCTAGCCAATAAGAAATGCTAGTAACAGGCAAATAGCTTTAAATATAATGCATAGTCTCTGTGTGTTATTTGGGGCTGGCGCGGCTGAGGGACCAGGCTGGCGGGAAAACAACTCATAACAAACAAACAAACAAAAACCAAAAAAACAAAAACAAATATTTGAGTGCAAAACCATGAACAATGTTTATGGAAATGAGGATCTAAAAGCAGCCTATGTTGATGATTAAGGTCTACTCAGGTTAACAGAAACTGACATAGAGATGGATATCTAACCACTTACATCTTTTCTAGCTGTGTTCAACACCAGACTTCCAGAAGATTTTAGATAAGGGATAACATATGTTAGGTGAATAAGGTAGATTTGATAGATAAGGTTTATACATTTCTAAAGTCTATTCAGGCTAGCAAAAACTAACTTGAAAATATATGTATAGTCTCTTTGTTTTTGCTAAACTTTGTTAAGCTTTAGTTCTTTGAGATAAATGGAGTTATACAAAAAACTGTGAAATTCTATAAAAGTACACTGTTAAAGAATCAGAAAAATTAAGGTTCCCAGTCTGTTTGTAGACAGTGTTTATAGTTTAAAGTTTTATTTTGGTACTAAAAGGTCTTCAGTTGAACCTTCTATACGATTTTTTAAGACTCAAATTTAACAGGGATTAAAGTGTAAAATCCTAATCTTATAAAAGCTACTAATTTGTAACTGTTAAAGATAATTAAGACATAAAAGTTAATGGTAAGTCACCTTTACATAATTAAATCCTTTAATTTTCTCAGAACTATGCTTATAGTCATGTTAAGCACAAATGTAGTTGATTCACGAAACAAGATTTAGCCTTCTGTATATGTTGTCAAGGTTAAGCCTGAAGCAAGTAGCTAGAAATTAGTTAAACAAAACTAGTGGTTTGTTTAAAATCAAGTATATTTAATAGGTTAGATTCTGACCCTTGAACTCCTCAGAGAGATCTGCTGAATATGGTGTTTAATGAAAACAAAAAGATAAGCTTCTGATGGTGGCAGCTGAGGGTGTCTGCAAAGATGGGCAGCAATGGGCTCCATACAGAGCTAGCTTCAAGTGTGGTGATGCTTACTACTGGCCAAAGAACTGTCCCATGCCTAGCCCACAAGCAGGCCTGCCCAAACTGTGGAAATACAGAAAAATCCCATCTCAAACAAAACAAAACAAACAAAAGATCACCATGGAAGATCCCAGGCCTGTTGTCCCCATGATGGGTTTCTTCATTTTAAATGATTAGAAGCCATTTGAACTACACTTCCTGCTGAAATGTATCGATTTGAGATGTCTGTGGTGGTGTTGATGGTGTGAGCTATGGCTGTATCAGTTTAGTGACAGGAAACAGACCTTAGCCAGTTCCTCCCTCTAATGCTACAGCTACATGGTCAATTCATATCATATATAAAAAAACAGGCCTTGTTTTTCTAGAACTACTAGGTCTCCTGCTGAGAAAGGCAGACTCACAGACAGACCTGGTCCATGCGCTTCATACTGAAAAAGATAAGCTCACAAAACAGATTTTGATACAAAGACAAACTCAAGCTACCATGCTGCTATTACCAACTAAAAACTCACCTTTTACTATTCTTTTATTTAAAAAGAACTTGCTTTTCAATGACTGCTCTTAGTAATCAAGCACCTATGTGTCATGGTAAGTGATTAGATGGGGGAAAAGGCTTAAAATTTATGTAAACTGCGAGGGTCTAAAGGAGTGACTTAAGGTATGTGAAAATTGATATGTAAAGATCATAAATGAAGAGATACCATAATAGAGGGAGCCATTATAGGTGTGAAGAGAAATCTGGCATGAGGGAAATGTCCAGAGATCTACAAGGATGATCCCAACTAACAATCTAAGCAATAGTGGAGAGGCTACCTTAAATGCCCTTCTCCTATAATGAG